TTGTGCGGCCACTGTAGCCCCTCCTCATCTTCTCTCCTGCGGTGGCTACTCCAGGTGGGGGGAGCAGTCGTTCAGGGGAGTGGAGGGAGAAGAAGACTCACCTGAGGCTCGGCAGCCCACCCTGGAAAGAGCTCTACTGTCTGGGTCCCCCCTCTTGCCTATGCCCCCAACTGAAACCAATTTAACTGTATTTTCCAATAAAGCCTCAGCTGGCCCTGCCAGCCTGCCTTGCTGTGTGTACATCCCATGTCCAGGGGGCTGGATGGAGGGGGTCCAGGGGCCTCTTCCTGGAACTCAGAAGCTGTGACGGCCTCAGGAAGCAGGGGGAGCTGAATGCTCTCTGAACGCCCCCAAATGCTCTCCTAAAGAGACTTGTGGATACCTGTTTGGCGCCGCGTTCACTGCCGCAGACGCTGTTTAGTCTTTACCTGTGGGTAGAGTGCCACCGTTTCTAGCGAGCTCCCAAATACCCATGTTCGGCGAGTCTGCGCCACGAACTGCTTGAGGCAGGCAGAGCAGGTTTTAGATGGCACTGTTAGGGGAGTCTGCCTCCCCACAGGCTTCGGCCTCAGGTCTGCTTGCGGTATGGAAGCCAGATTTGGACAGGCCTAGTGATCGACTTCCCTAGAAAACAGCAGATCTGGGATTGGAACCCAGGACTGCCCAGTTCCCAAACCTGTGTGTACTGCTTGGCCAGGCCCGTGGCTTTTCCTTGTGGCCAGAGATACCTTTTTACCACTTTTACTCCTCTGTAGCCAGCAGCCCACAAGTTCTGGTTTTCCTGTCCTTTCGGAGTCTGGAGTCTGTCGTGTGATTGGGTGTGTCACACTAGATTCTGGAAATCAAAGTGCTGTGGGTCTTGGCACTGCTGAGCGGGTTCTTCCCAGCTGCACTCGTACCACCCCTTCTTTACACGCTGTGCTTATGATACGAAGGGTGTGAGTGCATTCTGTGTTTGCACGTGGAGGGTGTGTTGTGTATATGTGGGTGTGTGCAGATTTCGTGCAGTGTGAATGGGTTTGCCTGTCCATGGGTGGGGGGGGGGACTGCAAGGTTCAGAGCTGCAGGTGGTTTAGGATGTTCCCAGCACGTGGCACCACTGCTGCCACATCGGAGTTCCTGGCAGACCCACCACCCAGGTAGCATGGGGCAGTGCACAAGCCTTCCTGTGACCAGAGGGGGGCATTCTTGCATGTTCTGAAACACCGACAGAATAAACAAGAAACAAGAGACGTATGCAGGGCGTGCAGTGAATGGGACGGGCTTGCGCAGGAAGCTCACAGCTGGCCCCGTGCAGTCTCCTTCCAGGACTCCTGTTTCTGGGCCCTTGGCCTCCCGGTTCTGGGCATCCACCTGAGGCCACCCTCCGAGTTATCCATCCAGTCCATGGAGCTGAGCTTCCACACTGAGCCTCCCCCAGCCCTTCCACTCAGTCCCGGGCTGGGGCCAGGGCTCTGTCTAGTTGCTGTAGAGGAAGTTTGTGAAAATAGCGTTATTGTGTAGAGCCACGGCTCTATTTTGGCAGTGGGCCATTGTAAGAAATTCATTTTTAGCGTGACCTACGAGCATGTTCTATATAACATGCCATACATATGTCTGCTGCTGGCTGCTGGGTGACAGCCCTCCCAGCAGGTCCCAGGAGTTAAGGAGGTGGTGTTGGAGCCCAGGGCAGCGCCTAGTGAAAGGGGACCTCTTGCCCTAAGTCAATATTTTCAATTGTGCCCCACCTGATCCTCCTTGAAGCCAGCCACCTGTCTTATGGGGCCCTGTCCCTAGGCAGTTGGTGAGCTGGGAGCAGCCAATAGTCTCCTGGTCTCTCCACACCCTGGGTGTTTGCTCAGGGAAGGGCAGGATGGCTCTAGGGAGAAATCCCTCCTTCCCTGCTGTTTCTCATTCAGGTCTATCTACCTAGGATCAAGGTCACTCAGGATTCAGGACACATCATGCAGTTTACCTTTCAGTATTTAAACAAACACAGGAGCCGGAAATCCAGTTCTCACGTAGGTGAGGATGGTCAGGAGGGACGGAAACTAACATTTCTCAGATAACTCCTGCTTCATGTCAGGGCTTGTGTAGCACCACATTGCAAATCTCCAGGAACTGGAAGGCAGGTAGTGAAATCCCCAAGTCCCCATTTTACACATGTAGACTCTGTCTAGTATGGTGGCGTTCTGACTTTTGAGCTCTTTTTTCTTTTAATCGCTAAAGTGTGTGTACTTGCCAGAGAGTGTGTGTGTGCGCGTGCCTGAGAGAGAGAGAGAGAGAGAGAGAGAGAACCCCAGTAGGGCATGGCCATGCTGCAATCCCTTCTCCATTTCTCAATCTTGTTGGGATTTTTGTGCCTGAGGTTTTGTTGTTGTTGTTTTCTTTTCTTTTCTTTTTTTTTTTTTTTTTGATTGCACACATATTTAACAATATAGTTTTACACAGGATGCTAAGAGCACTTTTCTTTATATTTTACAGAAGGACTTGAAACATACAGACTTTCTATTACTAGTCTTATCATAGCCCATTCAAACCTAACTTCTTTACAATTTGTTTAGTATTTAAAGGCTTAATGACAATAATGAGGGGTAAGAGTAAGTTTATTTTACGTAACTGACTGAAAAATAAATTCAAGAAATAGGAAATGGAATCTAATACGGTCTCATGCGCCTGAAGGAGGTGGTGGTGCCCGATTTGGAGGGGTAATCGCCATGTCCGTATAATCTCCTGTTTGAAACTTCTGCGAGGAATCATGAGTCCCCTTTCTGCTGGACATGGTGCTGCCAGTCTCCTTAATGGGATAGCTAGATCTTTTAAGGTCTGTACAAACAATTGCAAAATTGGAGTGTGTGCCCTTCTTCCTAGCTTCTGGGTAGACTTCTTTTACCAGTCAGCTCTTTTTTTTGGAGATGTTTTTGCTATAGGGTGCGTGTGCTCGCCAGAGAGAGAGACAGCAAGAAATCACAATCCCTTCTCCATTCTCCTCTCAGGATCTTGGGCACGCATGCCCACGCTCCCCATGTGAGTATAAGCCACCCGGTCTGGGACTCGAATTGCAGTCAACTACATGGGAGTCCAGTGACATAGCCATTATGCTAACTACTTGTCCCACTAGTAAGCTTTTTCAAGGTTCCATCCATCCTAGTGTGGGTCTGCAGCTTGCTGGATGGTACATTTCCTCGGGAAACTCATCCATTGGTGGTGGCGATTGTTATTGCTGGTGAAATCCCACAGCAAGAGAGGGCATGCCTTCTCGCGGTCTATCGGCTTTTCTGGCTCCTTCTTAATTTCCTCCTGGGTAATGCGCAACTCCACCGCCCTCTTTCTCCTATGGCCCACGAGACGTTAGCCCTGACCTCTGACCCCTGCAATGACCATGAGCACCATGCCTGGCGTTTTTCAAGCTGTCAGGCCCTGAATTTGAACTGTGGTTGGGCATGTGGGGTCCACTCCCTTAACCGCTTAGCCATAGGGTTGGTCCTGGACCAGCGTTCTTTTGACAATACTAGATTCGTATCACATGTAGGTAGCAAATGCATGGTATATACGATTCAGGAGTATAAAATGCAGGAGGTGGGTGGCTAGATGGTGGCATAGTGGTAAAATACAATGCTCTGTGAGGCTGACCAACATAGCAGGTTCTGGGTTCTTGCCTGGAGACCTCTCTGAGTTTAGGGGGCACGTGCATGCTCATGATCTGGGACTGGCTGAAAGCTGGTTGTCTCTTGCTCTCACTGTCTCTCTTGCTTATGGAATAAATACATAAACTGAAAAATAAAAGTATGGGACTGACAGGTGGCATGGAGGTTAAGGCGGTTGGGTCCCACATAGCAAATTATGCAGTTTGAGTCCTGGACTTGGATGCTTAAATTATGCTGGAGGTGTGTGTGTGTGTGTGTGTGTGTGCATGGCTCAAATCCCCAGATGAGGATGGAGGAGAAGGGATTGTGGTGTGGCCACCTCTCTTAGAGGCGGGGGTGATTGCCCACTTTCTCTCTCTCTCTCTCTGTCTCAGTCTCTTTCTAGCAAGCGCATGTGCCCTATCGCAAAAATCTAATAAGAGTAGGAAAGGACTGGGGCTGGCAGGTGGCTTGGTGGTTAAGGGTACTGGACTGTCACATGGCCAACTGCAGTTCGAGTGCTAGAGCTGGTGGCTTGCTTTCTCACCTGCCCCAACCCCGTCCCTCTCTGGTCAAATTTAAATAAATAAAGAAATAAAAAGTAAAGTTTAAAAAAAGTACAAAAGGATTCCTTTCCTCACCAGTCACTTGTTCTTTCAGAAGGTGGCCAATGCTCCCAGTTTCTTGTGACTCATCCCATGTAGAGTTTAAGTCTGTACAATTACTTAGGTATGTGCATGTGTGCATTTGCCTTTGTCTTTCACAGAGGGTGCTAACACGTATTATGTGTGTGTCATCATGTGCCTTGCTTTGATGTTCACTTAATACCTGTTCCTTCCATGTAAGTGTGTAAGTTGGTGCCCTACATTTTCATGGCTACATAATATTCCACCTAAGAATGTGCCATAGTTCATTTACTCTTTCCACGGTTGACGGGTCTTTTCAGTCTTTTATGGTGGCCCGTCCCTGTTCGGGCGCCAGGTGTCCTGACCCGGTGGGACTGCCAAACGGGTTTCCTGAGTGAAGGAGTGAGAGTCGGGGCAAGCAGCGTAGTGTTACAGCACGGAGATGACAGTGTCGTCTGTTTATTGTGGGCAGCACGGTACAGCACAGAGACGACGCAGTGTCACAACTCTTAAGGGTCGCGTCGTCTACTGTGAGCAGCACGGAGATGACGCGGTATCACAACTCTTCAGGGTCGTCCGGAGACGATGTAGTGTTACAGCTCTTCAGGGTCTCCCAGGTCGTCTGGAGACGATGCAGTGTCAGCTCTTCAGGATCTTCAGGGTCG